TTGGTGATAACTGTCCCAACAACCTCTGAAGCAACTATTGGCAGTGAGAAAAGTGTGTTGGGCATCTAGTCTTGCTTGAGAGCGTAACCCTTTCCCTGAACATTGTAACATCTCTAGAACATGAAGGTTGGGATTGGGGCTGGATGGCACTGTGCGTGTGCGCGGTGCTTGGGGCCTTGAGCCTGGTGAAGTGGCTGCAGGTCTATGTGATCGAGGCCATCGGTGGCACGAAGGACTTCTTGCTGAAGTATGTGAAGAAGAAGTTTGATGGCAAAGAGGTCACGATGACCTTGAAAGTCACGGTGGAAACCAAAAAGACACAAACCACCGCTGAGGTCATGAATTCCGACCTCCAGAAGTTTTTGAAAGAACTTGAGGAAGCTCATATGCGGAATTTCCACCTGGACACTTATGTAGAAGAATTGGAAGAGAAGCTGAAAGCAGTACAGGAGGTCATGGATGACTTTATGATCCAGACCCGGCTTTCAGATTCTCGAGCCACAAAGGTGGCAAATCAGATGTGCAACTTGCGCATGACCGCATATTGCAGGGTAGTGCATTTTTCCCCCTCATGCAAGTACTGGGGGCATGCACAGCAGATAGGCATTTGCAAGTTGTGCACACAGGAAGGAGGAGTGATGGAAGGTAGCATAAGTTCATGACAGTCCTGTGTGCATAACACGCACAAATCGAGAAACACTTCCGCTGGCCGAAACCAGGCCCAAACCTTACAGGAAAAGTCACGCTTTCCCGTTTTCAGATACGTTAAATATTTTTTTGATCTCTCACCCAATGTTTCGTCCATCAAGGTTACAGGTGGTTTGACACATGTTTGATGCACTGCGCACGTGTTTTGTCTTCATCAAGCCAACCACCCGTGAACACTTGACCGCCCATGGGTACAATGCGTGAGTCCTTGGGCTTTAAATTAAAGTGAACATGACATGGCAAACAATAATGTCATCCAAATTGGCAATTCCAGAATCAAGATGGCGTCCTCTTTCCATTTTGTCCCATGCAGCGGCTCAAGGTGATTAGACCAGACGCGTAAACAAAACCAATTGAACCACGGTAAATCCTAATCCCGCGTTATGTGGCGCAACCTTCATCTATGACTAAACATTGGAACAGATGAATGTGTATAGTGCTGCAGTTTTGCAAGTTTTTTCATTGTCTCGCAATGCTCGGATGCTGCTGTGGCCCGGAAGTAGTGGCTGCATGCAACGATGCTGGCAGTGTACCTGGAACTAAGAATCCTTTGAAAAAACACCCCCGGTATTCAGTAATTTACGTTGGCTGGATGGATGCGTGTGTTTCAGGTGCTAAAACACAAACGTGTGTGAATGCACGGTTCACAGAGTTCATTCATTGGCCGAGTTTCGCATTTACTAGTTGTTTACAATTTGAAACGACTTGCACCTAAGGTTTTAACAATACGAGATTTGCAATTGAAGGCACTCCTCCAACATCAACCTCGTTCAAACTGCATGCGTTTCGTTCTCTTATTTGGATCCTTTCTTTGCGTTCTTTAGGCGTGTGGCGCCAAAGCAACTGCAGCGGGAACTGTGGCATTGCCTCAGGCTGTTTCGGCCTGCGCACTACATCAGCTGGGACCTTCTGGTGCCAGCTTTGGTTACTATTTTTGTTTTTTTTCAATCACGTTCAGACACGCGTGATCCTTTTGTTACATGCATGTTCAAACATGTTCATTTAGTTTGGGTTTTAGTGTTGTGCATGTGTTTTGCATTGTCAACACATCAGACGTGACACCTTCATGCATGGTCTTTCCAACACTCAAAGGTGTTCCAATTCGAAACCTTATTTCCTTACATACGAGGGAACAAAACCAATCATTTCAACATGCTAGCTAGTTTTGAATTTAGCACCTCCGTAAATAACCGTATCACTGTGCACCCTGAACCACTCTGTTCAGTTGGTGGACATAGCTATCCGTGTTGCTTGATGAGTGTTGTCACTTTTGTTCGTTCACCAATTTTTTTTTGTCCACTTGCACGATTGCTCTTCGATGCCCTTACCAAAACTGAAAAAGCTGCATATACATGTCTCGCTCAGCAGTTTATATACTATTTAGCAATTAAATCTCGGCGAATAAATGACTACATGTGCAAGCGTGCATCTCCAGTTCTAGATCTTGCAGTTGCTGTGGTTCCACTGGCTTTAAGTCTAGCCTACAGTGGTTTTGTTTGGACATACTTGAGCTCCATTTCCTGTTTCTGGTGACTACAGAATGTGCTGTCATTCCAAAAATATGTTAAACAGTACTTTGCCTTGGCATCTATATCTCTCTTCTAGGAGTCTATGCTATTCCGTGTAGAGTGAATGACTTTGGGTCCTGAGCGAATGAGGTGCTGCGCTGCTGCTGCAGAAACAGGGTGTTGATTTTGTAGCTGCTGCCTTTCGGGAGGCCGAGAGTTGCGAGGAGAATATAGGCACATAGTGTGGGGGGGGACAGTGCTGACACTAGTCACTAGTACATTTAGCGCTTGACACTTGCAGAGATATTAGTTGAACCTTCGGGGCCTTGGGCCCTAAGGCTGCCTGAACATTTGAGATAGTGCTGTTTTGGAGTCAAGCACCAAGTTGTCTTCAATTTCAACGCATTCTTGTTCTTTTCTTGTATATAATATATTCTTCCCTTGTGCTTGCTAGGTTGGTCCGGAAAAATGCGGATCTCTCTTCCAAGAATTGGGCAGCGACTTCTGTGTCAAGCTCTTCATCGTATTGGGGGACATTTGGGTGGCAGAGCTTTTTGTGAAGTTGCAACTGCCTGAGCTGACTGTAGTACTTCCAAGTCTGGGGTTGACAATTGCACCAAATCATTGCCTAGGCAAGAAGACTTTTTGAAGGCTCTCTTCGAGACAAGTGGCTTCGTTTTTATTGCTCGCTTGCTGCGTGGTCTGGGCACTGATTTTGTGAGCCGCCTCTTCATACAGCTGGGCCCATGCTTTGCCGCGGAGCTTTGGGATGGGATGATAGGTTGGACCAGACAGCATAGAATTGGACAGAGAGTCCTTAACATTGGCTCTCTCACTTCACGATGTGTTGCTAGATTGTGCTGTACAGGAGTGTTAGGTGTGACACACTTGAGATAATGCCACATGCCACACGGCAACCTAGGTGAAAAAAGGGCTTGAGTAAAACGGGAAGAGTAGGTTGGAGGCCACCGCTTTTAGGTTGGAGACCATCGCAAGCAGGTTGGGTGGCCATCACTAGTAGGTTGGTGACATGCAACTGCAGAACAGTCAAGTTGAAGGTCATCGCTCTTAGGTTGGAAGCGATCGCAAACAGGTTGGGTGGCCAGCCGCTAGTAGGTAGGTGACATGCAACTGCAAACCATTCAAGCTTGGAGGCCATCGCTAGTAGGTGGAGGCCATCGCAACCAGGTTGGAGGCCCTCACTACAGGTTTGGAGGCCTTCAAGACACAAGCAAAACTGGAAACCTGAAGACCTAAACGGCCTTGTACCTCTACGAGTGGTCGGTGGTTACAACATTCACAAACCTAAGCTCACATCCCGCGATATCGCCCGGCTTCGTTGGTCAAGGTTGGTGATATCGCCTTGACCCCCTGCTTGGAAAATGAACAGATTCCCTGTGACTCCAAGGGCTCCACACACACGTCTCCCACAAGGGAGGCATGTGTGGCCTCCATCTTTAAGGGCAGGGCACCCCCATCCTGCCCAGAAAGGGGTCATGCGAAGCACATGTGAGCGCAAGAGGGAAGATGAACGATGAGCGAGACGAGACGAACAAAAGAGTGTATGTCGTTGCCGATGAAGGGAAGCCAAGTGAAGAGGGACAACCAGTGAACCATACCTCATTGTAACAAACCTGGGGCACCTGAACCAAGTTTGGTGTAAAACACACGTGCGTGCATGTGCACAAGCCAAGGTCCGGGCAGAAGTGCGCGCAAGAGAAGAAAAAGGTGAGGATGACGGGGCATGAAGACAGAAAGGACATGAAAGAAAAGAAGGAGAAGAAGTCTGCAGGGTCCCATGAAGAGGGAACCAAATGAAAGGGGACAAACCGATGAGTAGCCGAGCGTCATTAAGCCACCTGTTGTAAACGCCTAGCTTGCACGAAGAAGGAGGGGAAGGGAAAGAAGAGAGGAAAGAGGAAAAGAAAAGAACGATGGTGTTTCCAGCTACGACTCCAACGTCCAAGGACACACCGGACAAGATAAGAGGGGTTCCCAGGTATGACGGAAGCATCCAGGGACACCCAAGCAAGAAAGAAGGGGAGGGAAGAGAAGGGAGAGAGAAAGAGAGAGAAAGTGGCTCAAGCGCTGGCTCAAGATTCTAGGTGGCTCCAGCTGGTCTGTCCGCGCTTGAGGTCACCGAGGGCACTGGGTCTTCAACCTTGCAGGTTTCTTTGACCTTGGCTCGATCCGAGTGCGAGCGCCCGCCAGATGGAAAGAATCTGCGCACGGCGCTGTAGAAGCCAGCAAAGGGCCAGGAGAAGTTCTCGGAGGGGTTGTAACCGGCCCCATGGCAAGCCATTGGCCCAGCCTCACAAGCTTAGCTAAGGGTGGCAGAAGCACAGGTCCCGACATCAGCAGTCTCACAGAGCTGCTCTGGCATAGGAGAGCTCGGTGCCCGTGCCCTGCCCCCCACGGTCCTCTACGGCCTCATCCATGGGTGCACTCTCGAGTGCAGATGTCTGCCCATCCACAGAGCACTAGAAGTGGGCGCAAAGTTGCATGAAAAGTCACAATCAATTCCTAAAGAAATGGAATGACAACCAGTCTCAGCATGACTCGTGAAAGGTGTGTCAAATTGCTCATCACACCCGACATACGGCTGCGTGCCTTGAAGCCACGTTGCACTCACATCAAGGCAATCACAATCATGACAGCCGCAAGTGATCGTTCCACACCAGAGGCCTTCTGCGGCAGTGAGTCTCTGTCATTGTCCTCTTCCACCAAAGGCCTGCTCCGGTTTATCGGGGCAGACTCACCTGGGCAACCCTCCAAAAAAACGTGCCCGACCAGAAGCGGAGTTGAGCCCCGCCGGGGACTTGGAGGAAGAGAGAAAAGGCCCAAAGGCAGTCCTGTTGATGACCTTGGCCTTGCAGACAGTTGGCATTGACTACACTCTGGAACCAGAGATGCAGTCTTTGGAGACAGTGTTGAAGGCTCGTCTGCAATCGCTGCCTGGAGAAGTCAAGGAGGCTGTAGAGAATTTGTTGGCTCCGGCCAAAGAAGAACCCAAGGATGTGACCACCAAGTTGAAGGTCACGGTGGGTGAGTTGAGACAGCTGTCCAACAAGAAGGCAGGGCTACAGAAGAAAGTTGACGATGCCAAGGATCAGTACAAGCTGCTTCTGGATGAGCTCAAGATGGTTCAAGAGTTGATTGACAAGGAGCAGCAGCAGCTCATGGCCCAGTCTGAGGCCTATGCCGAATTGCTCAAAGAGGAGATGAAAGATGAGTGTGCTGAAGAGCTGCCAGAAGTTGACGCTGATGTCAATGACCATGTGCTCAAGGCACTTGCTCAGGTAGGGATCCTGCACACAGACTCCCAAAAGACTGACCTTGAACAGCGTCTTGCGGAGAACATGCTGAAGCGCCGAAAGAAGGCTGAAGGCCCAGTCAGGGTAACCCTGGATGTGCGCTGATGCCGGTACAGACAGCCTTGGGGAAAATGGAGGGGCGTTTGATTTGGGGTCCGTGCTGACACTTTGTCCCACCGCTGAAGAGAGCAGGAGAAGCAATTGCTGGGAGACTCAAACCATGGGAGTGTTTGAATGTCTGGCACTCATGGGGTGGCATGCCTACAGCTTGGGGAGCAGTGGCGCATGCCTGTGGAGCCAGCTTTGGAGGAGGCCAATGACAGAAACACACCACTTCAGACGGATGGGGTGATTGGTGAAGCTTCTGATACAAAGATGTCGGGAGGTAGTTCACCTGCTACTATGAAAGTACCCTGCGTTCTACGAGCACAGAGCGGCCCAGGACCAGGGATCCCACACTTGGATCAACCACAGCACGATCCATGCAAGAACAGAAGGCTTGAAGCCTTCGAACATTGATGTACCACCTCAGGCTCCGTGTGGCTTCCTTGGAGGAGGTAAAAGGGGCAAATATGATGAAGATGAAGACATCTTGGATGACGCTGATAGGCAACTGGCCCAAAGAACTACGCCAGCTTATGGTTTTGCAAGAGAGAGCCATGGCTGCGATTAGGGCCCTGCCTGGTGAGTGTAGAGAAGATTTTGACTATGGGTATGGGTTGGTTGATCGAAGGAGTCACTGACCTTTGCAACGTGTATCGTTGATGGGGATTAGATGGTCGTCTGCCGGATCAAGTTCGAACCACGGTGGTGCTCTTTCTACCCAAAACTCTCGATGTCTGGGTGGATGACATCTCCATTGACTTTGTTGGAGACCAAGCAGCCACTGTCAGCAGAGAAGCCCTGACTGGATACGAGATTAGAAGCAAAGGCTTGAAGACGCAGGCCTTTGTCTCTCAGTGGGCAAGACTGGGTTTCTGGCTTCGTCAAATGAGAGCAAGAGGGCACTGAGCATGTTCCGCCAAGATGGGCAGCCAATGGTCCACGACCCCCCCGAACGATCTTGGACTGGATTCCAGAAGAAGGATTGGCGCCCAACACAAAAGGCTCCTAGACGACAGTCCAAGCTGCTGCACCTCAAGCTGAGGGCAAGGCCAATCCGCGGCCGTGTGTGGAAAACTTCAGTGCGTTCGGCTGCGTGCTATGGCCTGGAATTTCAAGGAATAGCACCGCAGCGATTGAGCACGCTGTGCGCCCAACTGGCTCGACATGGGGGTCTTCAGAACCCCAAAGACCGGCAATAGAACGCCAGATGTTCATCTACTGGTCCTCAAGTGGCCACCTGAGCAAAGAGCTGAACTTTGGAAAAGGCTTCAAGCAGCGGCCTATCCTTGAAGGCTTTTTGCTATTTTATCGATTTTCACCATTATTTTACCGATTTTGCTGGGCGTTGTGTCTGTCGCATGACATCCTGTCAGTCATCATCCGCTAAAAGCAAAGGGGGGGAGGGCGGCGCAACAATCACATTAGTGGCAATATTAATGGGTTTGCCAAGGACCCCCAAGGACCAGCAAGGACCCTGCTTTGTGGTCCTTGCTCAGTTTTTGGCTGCCAGGACTCGTTTGCAAAGTCCTGGGCCCAACCCAATGCCAATCATTGACACAAGGGTATCAAGATAGGACTGGACAGATCAGTCAGTGAAAGTTAATGTGATTTGTGTGCACACTTTGTTCACACTTGCGATATGGAATGGCTTCAAAATGCCAAGCCGTCCTGACAGCCATTTTGATTGATAGCCCTTTACTGATTGTTGATGGAGCGGTGATTCATGTGTGGTATGTGCTGACTTTGAACTGTCCTTGTTGCTATGCAAGTTTGGGTTCAAATAACTGTTATAATGAACATATCATCTGGATCCGAAGGTGCCACTCCCTCCGAGTGTGGGAATGACGGCGATGCCAGCCCAGATGGCCTTGCTGCACAAATTGAAATTCTCTATGTGGACTCCGATTCAGAGGCACTGTATCAGTGCCATCCATCATTGAGGACAAGGACATCTATTTCAATGAGGGCTCGGAATCAGACATCATCGCGGACGACTTGGACGACAAAAAACCTGGCGCACGCAGGGATGACTTTATCGAGATATTCAGCCGCCCCAGGTTGATTCCCAGAATCTCAGCGCTGCATCTTGGCATGGTAGCTTCCATGTCTGTCGACATACTGACTGGTTTTGATTTGCTTTTGCCAGAGGAGAGGCAAGAAACCATGACCTATCTGTGGGCAAGACGACCCCGCAGCGCCGTGTTGTCACCCCCATGCACGATGTTCTCCCAGTTGATGAACACCAACTGGGCGAGAATGGATCCTGCGGTTGTCAAAGCAAGGTGGCAAGAGGCCATGGTTTTGCTGAAATTTGCCCTGGATGTGGCTCGGTTCATGATA